TAAGTTGTGGTAGGTAATTATGACAGAAATCTCTTATACTGTAAGAAACAATGAGCAGGATGCTCTCCAAAAAACCTCAAAAGACTTACATGAATTGATAGAAAGTGAAATGTATTGGGTACAAAGTAACAGCAATATTTTAAGATGATCAGCTGTGAATGACTTGGCTATTCTCAGCCATACAAGGATCCATGACAACTCTGAAGGACTTAGGATGAAAAATATTATCCATCCCCAGAGGAAGAACTGATGATGTCTGAATACAGACTGAAGAAACTTTTTTTTCCACTTTCTTCATTTTTCTTGAGTCTTTTTGTCGTTTTCTTTTATAACATGAGTATTATGGATATATTTTGTATGACTACAAATATATAACCTGTATGGAATTGCTTGCCTTCTCAATGAGGGGGTGAAGATGGAGAAGGAGAAAGGGAGAGACTTTGGAAGTCAAAGTTTTAAAAACAAATTGTAAAAAATTGAAATAATAATAATGATAACAAATATTAGTTGGCCTTGACCCTCTGGACATCTCTGAGGCACAGAAGGCCCTCTTGAACGTTGGAGGGCCCTTCCCACTCCCTCCCTCAGCAGCTAGAATTTCCAGGTGCTAGGGACATCCACACCCTTGGAATAAGCTCCAAGTCAGCTCCAGTAGCAGCCACAATGGAGGCAGGGGGGGCAGGGTGGAAGGGCTAGAGGGCAGTAGGAACAGCTGCTCCACCCACTTGGGTAGGGACACCTCTAGCCAACAGGGGACTTCATCAACATGATCCTGAGTAAGCTGAAGGCCCCACCTCTAGGCCAGACTGAAAGGGGGAAGCAGGGAATTCTCTAGAATGCCCAAAGCCAACTCCAAGGGATAAGCTAACCCCAAGGATTGGAGGGTGGACTCCCTCTGAGGCTGCAGAGCTAGGGTGAAGAGGAAGGAAGAAGGGAGATTGTCTGAGGGATGGGCATAAGGCCAGTGTGAAGCCCTCCAACCTACTGGTTAAAAGTTAAGGCCTTCCTTTTTCGGGGGATGAGGGGAACTAAACAGAGAGAAATGAATAAAGGAGATGAAAATGTCCCTTCCATTCTTAACTGCATTAAAAACAGCAGAAGTGAATGACTGGAAAGCCCTACACTGGTGGCTACCTTGGAAGGGCTTTCTCCAGCACAGGTCTCATTATGGCTGCCACACTCTGAAGAGAAGGAATGTCCCTCTGGGACAAAGTCTGCTTGATTGTTCTAAGGGTGTGTGTGTGTTTGTGTACCTGTGTGTCTTTGGGGAGAGGTAGGGCTGGCAACAGTCCTGGTCCCAGGGTTGACCTTCCCAGATCACTGGCCCTAGATGCCCCTCTAGTCTGGCCAGAATGGGGCTCATTACCCATTCTATGACCCGACTTGCCCGATCTCATCCTCCCAATACCAAAGGCCATCTGCCCTCTAGAAAAGTCTCTAAACTGAGACAATGCCAGGCCAAGGACGATCCTCACACAATGAAAGGCTGGCTGCCCCTGGTCCCAGCTCGTGCTGTCTTTGTCCTCGCAGTCCCTCTAGCATGGGCCCAGCATTCCCCAGGCGTTACCTTAGTAGCCACCAAAGGACGCGGACCTGGAGGCAGACTCGGACCCGGACACAGATGAGGCGGTCGGCTGATCGACTAGCAGTCTCAGCAGGTACTCAGCAGGGCCATGCTATGGCATAGAGTGGCCAGGAGAAAAGGTGTTGGAGAGGTGCAGGGTCTGGATCTCGGTGTCCTCTTCTGTGCCAGGGCACAATATCTGCACCTCGTCTCGTCTGAGTACCTTCTCAGCCAAAGAACATCTGCCCCTCCCAAGAGTTGCTCCCTGGGAACGGCTGCCTCTGATCCATCCCCTAACCTCTCCCCCCCCAAAATCCCCAGGAACAGCGGTGTTCATGACTCAGTGGAGTCCCTCAGCGCCAGGCCTGTTTGCCCCCCTGCTTCATCTCCCTTTCCCACAAAAAAACTGCAAAATCGTGTTGCCCAGGGCAGGGTTCATTTCCCAATACCAAGGCCTGACATGCCTTTCCACCTTCCTGTCCGACAAAGTATGCTTGATTTCCCTATTGGTGCGAGTTGCTGTGTGTGTGACAGAGTGGGTCTGTGTGTGTGTGTGTGTGTGTGTGTGTGTGTGTGTGTGTGTGTTCGTGTGCGCGCGAACCTGTGTTTGTTTGTGGAGAGGGAGCACTGGCAACAGGCCTGTGCCCAGGGTTGACACATCTAGTCCCCTGGCCCCAGGTGCTCCTCTTGGTTCCCCAGAAAGGGGATCGTCATCCTCTCTATGCCCGGACTTGGCCGGGTTCATCGTGCCAGTGCCAGGATCCAGCCGGCCTCTAGCAAACTCTCTAAAGTGGGGTAGCCCTAGTCCGAGGATGATCCTCCCACGATGAAAGCCTGGCTGCTCCTAGTCCCATCTCGAGCCTCTTTGTCCTCACAGTGCTTCTGGCGCGCACCCAGGGCTCCCCAGGCGTTACCTCGGCAGCCACAAAAGGATGTGGACTCCGACGCAGACGTGGTCTGGGCAGTCTGGAGACAGACGGAGCAGTCTCAGGAGGTACCCCGTAGGGCCCACACTGGCATGGAGTGGCCGATAGAAAAGGTGTTAGAGAGGTGCAGGATCTGGAGCTCGGTGTCCTCCTCTGTGCCAGGGCACAATATCTGCACCTCTTCTTGTCTGCGTACCTTCTCAGCCAAGGAACATCTGCCCCTCCCAAGAGCTGCCCGCTGGGCACAGCTGACTCTGCTCCATCCCCTAACCTCTCCCCCCAAATCCCCAGATACAGAGGTGTCCATGATTGAATTCAGTCCTCCCATACAAAGCCTGGTTACCCCCCTACTTCATCTTCCTCTCCCACAAACCACCCCAATATCGAGTTGCATAGGCCTTGACAATTTAGAAATCCCTGAGGAGGCATTGAGGTTGGAGCTCAGTGAGCAGGCAGATAGGAAGGCTCAGGGTCTGCCTTGGAGGCTCTTCCTGGTGCTATGAGAATCCCTGGGGAGCTTACCACTTGTCCATTTACTCATCTGTAATATGAGTTGGATAATCCTTAAGAGTTGTGATGATGAAATGAAGAAAAAAACACCAAAAAACCCCACAAAAACCTGTCCTTCCAGCACTATTAACCCATGAAGCCCACTGCCAAAGGGTCAGGGTTAGTATCAGCTGGCTAGCTGGGACCAGGACAGAGCTCTTGCAGATGACACCTTCCACCCTTCAGAACAGGCTTTTGGCTGCTGGGGGGACCAAAGACATGGAAGAGAAGGCAGTCCTCAAGCTTACCATCTGTGGGGAGAAGACAAATTCCTGGTTGTGAAGCAACCTGAGAATAATCACAAGCAGAGTGTCCAAAGCCCAGATTCTATAAAGATATGCTAAGGGGGAGATCCAGAATGGAGGCAGCAGAGAGTGGAGCCTCCACTTCCTCAGGGAAGCCTCCTGCAGGATCCTCTTGAAAGAGGACTTGTGGCTCAGGCTGAACCAATGCTGAGATCAGGCATGAGACTGCTGGGCCTGGCCCTGCTAGGCAGCCATCATCAATGTGCTTTGGAGCCACTTCAGAAACACTTTAGGAGAGTGCCTCTCTGTGCCAGCCCAGCTAACCTTTTGGAGAAATAAGTCTGGGGCTTTTGGTCCCTGTCCTTCAAGGTCACCCCCTTAAGAACCTTCTCAGGGTCTGCCAGAAAATAGCATCGTCACTCAGGCAGTAAGCACTGCTTCTCATTCTTTTTTCCTTCTTTGGGGAATCTCTAGAATTTCCCTTGAAGATGTCTCGGCCAGTGAGCGCCTGCGCCTCCGGTACCACCTACACGTTGATGGAGATGGCAGCAGCGGCAGCAGCACCAGCAGCAGTGGCTGCAGTTCCCCTGTGGTCGGCCAGCACATTCAATCAATGACAGTTCCCTCAGGTAAGAGGAGCCAGAGAGGCTAGCCACCTTCACCATCACAACTGCCCATGGCAGCCAAGGCCTCAGCTGCTGCCATGTGCATATTCTTTCCTCCCCATTTTTGGTGGAGACATCACTCTATTGCTTTCTTTCCTCACAAAGGTGAGAATTCCCTGTCCCCAGCACCATCTCTCCCTCCTCTACCCCAATCTGGCCTACTGCTGCCTTCACTGTCTGAGAACAGGAAATAGGGGGGCAACTTTGAGCATGGAAAAGGCCAGGTCCCCTGACCTCAAGCTGGGTAGGGAACAACCCCTCTCAGCCATGGAACTCTTTTCCCTAGCCCCAATGAACATGGTTCTTAGAGTGAGTTTCAGGGCCCAGCAACAGCACAGGAAGCCACTTGGGTCAAGGGCCTGTGGGGGAGGAGACAGCTTCAGGTGGCTCTTCGCTTTTCTCATACCTCATCATGGTAGTTTAATTTGGAAAGAGGTGCTCCCTGGCCCATGGGAGCTGTGGCTTGGTTCAATCCTGCCTCTCCTGTGAAAGATTATTCATCTGTTTAAGGAATAAGAACAGGAAGAGAGGGCTTTAGGTATCATTTCTTTTCAACCTCAAAGTCTCCAGCCAAGTCTCATTCCCCTCCCTTTCTTTTTCACCCTTTATTTTTTCCACTCTCCTATCTTTGCTCTTCATACTTGCTGTTCCCCAGGACTCGGAGGAGGAAGTCAAGTAGGGTCAAAGGCCTCTCACCATCCCCTCTCCTGGCCAAAATCCCCTGCAGCACCCCTGGATCCTCCTCAGGATATAGGTCTGAGGATGACTGTGCAGGTAGGCATCACTTTTCCTCCCTAGAGCCCCATCCCCCAGGCACTGCCCCACTGACTTCAAAGGGTGACCCATCGCTGGGGGCAGGGAAGAGAGCTCTGCAGTCTGGCTCTAGATGGGGGTTTGGAGGGTGGGAGTGCTCAAACCCTCAAGCCTGGTAATGGGGATGCTCCAGGTCCACTTGTCTCTCTTCTGGTGAATCTTCCCTTCCTTGCAGGGCACTCGCTTTTGGACCAGCCTGGCTCTGCATCCAACCTAAAGAACAGGGCCCCAGTGGCCCTTCCTTGTGGATGGCCATCCACTTCTCAGGTGGGTTCTGCCAGTGGGTGGGCACAGTGCCCAGGGTAGTTCCTGCAGTGCACCTAGAAGAGATTCCTCATTCCTATGTAGGGACATGCTGGGCCCGGCTAGAGTAACTCTAGGACAGCGTGTAGAGATGGGCTACAGAGAGAAAGATCCCCAAGCACAGCTAGAGAGCCCTGGGAGGATGCAAGACCAGAATCCAAAGAAGCGGCTTCAGAGCTGGCAGGCTGGAAAGGGGCTAGCTCTGGGACATGATGGGCTTGCAGGGTGAAGCCTTTCAATCTCTCTGCTGGGACTTTTGCAGGTTGGCTCTTTGGCCTGCTCTGCTGGTGCCTTCATAACACCTGGTACTGCCTGACCACAGCTGTCTCCCTGCAGGACATCTATGTTTTCACCAGGTCAGTGAGGACTACCTGGGGCCTGCCAGAATCAAAGATCCACAGCTCCAAAGGACTCCACAGTCCTCAGATCAATTTCCCCATGTGCTTTGTCCTGTTCTTTTTCAGCTTTTTCAGACTTTTATGCCATGAATCTTATGACAGGGTCAGGTAGGGTCAGGGGTGTGCTGGAACCAGCTGGAAACTGCTTGTCAAAGTCAGCTACCATTCAGGCCCTGATTGAGTGTCTCCACTGAAGAAGATGATGGCAAAAGTGGGTTGCGTGTGCCTTGCCCTCCTCCAGAGCTGGTTGTTCATCATTCACCGGCACAGGCCAGCCCCCATTACCCTTGGTTCTTCAGGGAAGTGGGACTCTCACTATCGGGGGGATTCTCTTCCTGAGTATCTTTTAGGAGCTCTCTCCTCAGTAGTTCCTGCCTCTGATCACAACTGACTCTGGTGAGTTCACCTTTGCCAGTCGGCGGGTCCTGAGTTTCCAGGGACACTCCCTACTTTGGGTTTGAATCCAGAATTTTCTGCCCAGACCTCCAGGTGCCAGGTCATTCTAGCAGTTTCTCTGTGGAGGAGCATGCCTAGGATTCTAGGCTGCCTCCAGGGCTGAGTCCAGGAACCTCTAGAGCAGGGGTGGGGACCTTGCAGCCTCGAGGCCACATGTGGCCTCCTAGGTCCTTGGGGAGGCCTTTGACTGAGTTCAAATTCTATGGAACAAATCCTTTTCTGAAGGGGATTGATTCTGTGAACCGTGGCCACACTGGAGGACCTAGAGGGACACATATGTCCTTGAGGCCTCCAGGTTAGCCACCCCAGCTCTGGATTCCTGGGGCCACAGGCTGGGCCAATGCTGACAATCCCACTTTAGCAGTGGTTCCTCCTGCAGCTCTTCCAAGTCCAATCTGACAAGAACTGTAAGGATTTAGAAAAAAGAAGACTGCCTAATTGAAGGAGACATCTTCCACCTGACCTCACAAAGGGCAGCATGTCACCTATCATAACAACATGAATACATTTCACAAAGGCCAACTTTACTACTCGCACTTTACCCTGAGGGCTGTCCATTAAACCCCAGGTCTCCACATGTTCAGTGCCCAGTGGCAGGGGTGGGTGGGGGGCACACACTTTGGGGTTTCATTTGCCACGCAGAGAGGGTCTCACCAGATCCTGTGATGGGGAAGGGCAGACTTAACATCCTCCTTCATCCATGAAATCCAGGAGCTTTTCCACTGGGAAGAAGTTGCTCCTCTCTGTCTTGGGCATGCTGTTTCTTGTGGCTTTGCTGGATTATGGTGAGCATGTTGAGTCCCAGGGCAGCTGGGGTGGGCAGTTGGGGTAGGGGGAAGAGACAAGGGCTTGGGGACACGGCAGCCAAAGGAAAGTTTGGAAGACAGAGCTTTGAAGGGGAGCCTTTAGGGAGCCAAAGGGACAAAAACCATGACAAAAGGCAACCAGGTCACATCTGGGCACGTTCTTGTGCCTAAAGGGTGAGAATTATGCCTTGTCTCTCATTCTCCTCTCCATTCAACCCAACAAACTTTTATTGTGCATTTTCTATATGCAGGCCTCAGAGCCTCAGGCTGCAGGCTATGGGTGGTTGTCCTGCCCACTTTGAGCATGACCAGCACTTTGAGCAAGGAGGTGTTTTATCTGTGCCCTCCATGGTCACTGACAAGGTACTGGAGGGTGGGTGATTGGTAGAGGAGCTGAGCTGGAAGCAATCGGTTATGAGGGCAGGACATACCCAATGCCAGGTCTGGAGGGCTTCGTCCCTTTTCTTTGGTGAGAACACACAGGGTGGTCCTCCCTGGATGATCCCAGAAGGGCTGGACTCTTGGTCAGGAGCCACAACATTACTCAGCCCATACTGTGAGATAAAGTCCACCTCAGAAATGATGACACCACAAGCCAAAGGTCACCAAGGTCTGTCTGCAGGCAACCTCTCTGTAGAGCATCCTGGACATCATTCAGAAGGGACGGAGCTCTGTGTTGACCAGGCTTGGGACCAGGAGGCATGACTTCTGGCTTCAGTCTTCATGTCCTCTCCCCAGCTTATTCTTATCCCTCATTTTTGCCATCATCCAAATGTGTCTAATGACTTCGGAGAGGATCATGAGAGAGTGACCTCTTGGGGTAGAAGGGGCTCTAGCTGTAGCCTTCCAGATCATGATGCCCCTCATGCATCTGCCTCCGTTGGGCTGGGGTCTATGCCCCCATTGATGTGACACTGCCAGTGTCAGTCCGCATGGAGTTCCGTTCTGGCTCTTGAGACTCAGTCTCAGATTAGCCTTTCCTCCCATGTGCTAGGTGCTTGGTATTTCTACCCCTCTGGACTGGACCTTCCACCCTGCTATGCTCTCCTGGTTGGCAGAAGGGTAGCAGCAGCAGACAGGACGTGTGGGAATCAGGAGAATTCACACCAGATTTCCAGGTGAGCACCCCACTGAGTGCCAGGAAAGCTTTGCACAGGACAGACAGACGACTCACTCACCATCCAGTTCATTTCTCTAAGTTAACCTAGGGTTACTCAGCCAAGCAGCACTTATTAAGCATGGCCTATTATGGGTCAGGCATTGTCCCAAGGCAAAAACCAAACAAACAACCCCACAGTCCTTGCCCATGAGGAGCTGTCTCCTCATGAGGAGACATCTAGGTGCCAAAGACCTAACAGGACAAATGGGAGTGAAGCATTAGAGGGTGTTGGCTCTGCTGTTTCTTGTAGGGCAGCCATAAGCCTATTGCTATGCCCTCCTTGAAGGCAACCCTGGTTTGGCAGGATCTGCCAGCTGGTGTCCTCTGCTGCCACTGTCTTTGAGACCCCAGGGTCAGCTCTGTAGGCAGCAGAAGAGGGAGAAGTCACATTAGCCAGAGAAAGATGCTTCTGTTTTCATTCTTTTCATGAACAAGAATCTATTTTCTTTTCTTCTCACCTCCTATCCATTTGAAAAATGGAAAAACAAACCACTTCTTACAAACATACAGAGACAAGCAAAACAGTTCCTTGGCCATGTCTAAAAGATGTATTTCTCCTTCTGCCTTGGTCCATCCCCTCTGTCAGAAGTTGCATCATTTGCCAGAAGAGTAGCTGGTCACTGCCTTCAACAGAGTTCTGAAGTCTTTCACAGTGGTTTGTCTTTGTGCTTCTGCTCACTGTTCTCCACATCAGTTCATGCAAGTCTTCCCAGCTTTCTCTGAACACCACCCCTTTCATCATTCTAAGAGTATGGTAGATTACCTATTCATCCCTACTCCATAATTTCTTTTTTTCCAACTCCATCATTTGTTCAGCTCTTGCCAAGTGGGGGTTTCCAGTTTTTTGTCACAGCAAGAAAAATTGGCCATCAATATTCCTGTCCAGATCGGACTTTTTCCTCTTTGATCTCTTTGGGGAATAGGCCCAGGAGTTGTCTTGCCAGGTGAGTGGGTAGACATGTTTTATTATCTCTGGGGGCAAGGCTCTAACTGTTTCCAGAATGGCTGGACTAGTTTCCAGTTTCTACTTAGAGCATTGTTGTTGAGTCGTGTCTGGTGAGGTGCACTTTCACCATTCCATTTGGGAATTTTCTTGGCAAAGATCCTGGAGTGGTTTGCCATTTCCGTCTCCAGGATTTTTAAAGTGAGGAAATGGGGCAAACAGGGTGAATTATCTTACCCAGGATCACACAGCAACTAACTATCTGAGACCAAGCCTAGAGTTCTACGCACTCTAGTTGAACAGTAATGTGCCTGACTTCTCACAGCCTGCTCAACTTACGTTACTTTGCCTGATTGTCCTCTTTGCCACCTGACGGGTAGAGGGTAGAATCTTAGAGTTGCCTTCATGGGCATTTCTCTACTTATTCGTGATTCAGAGCATTTTTTTCATTTGGTCATTGATCCCTTGTATTTCTTCTCTGAAAAATGCCTGTTCATAGCCTTTCACTATTTGTCTACTGGACAAAGCACCACAGACACCTGATGGGGGGAAAGCCAGCAGGTCATTTTGTCTTATTTTTTCTTCCTTTCCAGTAGGATTGACATCAGCTTTCTTCAGCTCTGTGTTCCACCATTTTTACTTAAATTCCTTTTTTTTTTGTATAAGAAGCTCCACAAAATTTTATTTTGGTCACATTTCCAAGCATTTTTTCTTCTTCTTCTTTTTAAAAAATAATTAATTAATTGATGGTTTTTAAGATTCACTTCCATAAGATTTTGAGTTTTAAATTATCTCTCCCTCCCTCTCCCCTCCTCCCAAGATGGTGTGCAATCTGATACAGGCTCTACTTATACATTCATGTGAAGTATATATTCCCATCAGTCATGATGTAAAGTACAGTTAGAACTAATGGGAGGAACCATGAGAATGAAGCAATAAAACAAAACAACAAAGTAAAAGGAGATCAAATAGTATGCTTCCATCTGTATTCAGACTCCATTGTTCTTTCTCTGCATGTGGGGTAGCCTTTTCCATCATGAGTCTTTTGGAGTTGTCTTACATCCTTGCATTGCTAAGAAGAGCCAAATCTATCAAAGTCAGTCATCACAGAGTATGGCTGTTACTGTGTACAATATTTTCCTGGTTCTGCTCATTTCCCTCAGCATCAGTTCATATAAATCTTTCTAGGTTTTTCTAAAGTCCACCAGCTCATCATTTCTTATAGCACAATAGGATTCCACCACATTCACATACCACAACTTGTTCAGCCATTCCCCAGTTGATGGGCATCCCCTCAATTTCCAATTGTCCTCCACTACAATAAAAGCGACTAATTTTTTTGTACATGTGTGTCTTTTTCCCATTTTTTATGATCTCTTTGGGAAACAAAAGTAGAAGTGGTATCACTGGGTGAAAAGGTAGGCACAATTTTTGAGCCCTTTGGGCATAGTTCCAAATTGCTCTCCAGAATGGTTAGATCAGGTCACAACTCTACTGACAATGCATTAGTGTTCCAATTTTCCCACATTTTCTCTAACATTGACCATCATCCTGTTTTGTCACATTAGCCAATCTGATAAGTGTGATGTGGCACCTCAGAGTCCTGTTGACTTGCATTTTTCAAATCAGTAGTGAGTTAGAACATTTTTTCATATGGTTCTAGACAGCTTTAATTTCTTCCTCTGAGAACTGCTTGTTCATATCCTTTGACCATTTATCAATTGGGGAATGACTTGTATCCTTATCATTTTGACCCCATTCTCTACATATTTTAGAAATGAGGCCTTTATCAGAGACCCTTGTTGCAAAAATTCTCTCCTGGTTTTCTGCTTCCCTTCTCATCTTGGATGCATTGGCTTTGTTTCTGCAAAAAAACTTTTCAATTCAATGTAAGCAAAATTATCCATTTGGCATTACATATAATGTTCTCTATCTCTTCTTGGGTCATAAATTCTTCCCTTCTCCATAGATCTGAAAGGTAAACTATTCCTTGCTCTCCTTGTTTGGTTATAGTCTCATTCTTATATTTGAATTCTGCCCCCATTTTGACTTTATCTTGGTATAGGATGTAAAATGGTGGTCTCAGCCCAGTTTCTGCCACATTCTTTTCCAGTTTTCACAGTAGGTTTTGTTAAATAGGGATTTCTGATCCCAAAAGCTGGAGTCATTGGATTTCTCAAATAGTAGATTAGTATGGTCAATTGACTGTTGTGTCTTGCCTACTTAAACTATTCCACTGATCCCCTATTCTGTTTCTTAGCCAGTACCAAGTAGTTTTGATGCTTGCTGCTTTATGATACAATTGAAGAGCTAGTAGAGCTGGGCCACCTTCCCTTGCATTTCTTTTCATTAGTTCCCTTGATATTCAGTACCTTTTCTTCTTCCAGATGAATTTTGTTATTGTTTTTTCTAGCTCTAGAAAATAATTATTGGTAGTTTGTTTGGTATCACACTGAATAAATAAATTAATTTAGGTAGAATTGTCTTTTTTTACCATCTGAGCTTAGCTTAGTCATGACCAACTCCTATTTTTCCAGTTGTTTACATTTGACTTTATTTGTTTTGGCAGGTAGACTCTGAAATATTTTATGGTGCCTACAGTAATTTTAAATGGAATTTCACTTTCTGTCTCTTACTGTTGGGCTCTGTTAGTTATATATGAAAAGATTAGGGAGGAATAAGATTGTCCATGTGACTTAAGAGCTGAGTTTGAAACTTTCTTCAGGAGACTAACAAATGACCTCACCACTCTGGGGACAGTGGTTTGTGCCTAATCCCAGCTGACCTTGGAGGCCTCCTCTTGGTGGGATGGTAGAAGAGGAGCCCAGTCTCTGAGAAGTCTAGCTGGGACTTAAGGTCAAGATTTCTGGAGCCCAGCAGTTTGTAGCGACTCATATCCTCCTCAGCAGACAGAGGGCCCAGCCATAGGAGGCCAAGAATCCCCAGAGTGCAGCGCTGATGTTTTCATCAGTCTCATTATGTACTCTTTTTCCTTACAGGAGCTGGAAAGCGGGGTGCTTCAGCACATGTCTGAGTGGCATGGGTAAGGCCCCAAACTGACTGACAAAGAGAAGAGGAGGGAAGGAGGGCAAGAAAGCCAGACCAGAGAAACGAAAACTGAGTTTCCTGGGGGGTTGAGGGGGGCAGGTCAGTGGAGCCAGAACACTTGGGTTAGCATGTCCATAGGATTGAGCCAATCTAGGAGGGACCTCAGAGAGCAGATGAGGTTACTGCGGCCCCAGAGGGAAATGACCTACCCAGGGTCCCCCAGGGAGCAGATGTCAGTGAAGACTTGCAGCCAGTTCTGTGGCTCTGTGCTTTCCATTGGGTGGTGCTTTTCTTCAGGTGACACTTGTTCTATTTGAGTCCATCCGCCAAGTGCCTATGCCGAGGTTGATCTTGATTTTTCCTTTTGTCACTGGCTAGTTTGTCCCAAGAAGACTTCCAGGAGAAAAGGCCAAAGGAGATGGGTTCCCAGGAGGCCCAGCTGGCTGGCCTGAGGCAGGAGATGGTGGCCGTCAGCCAGAGACAGGCTGCAGTGGCCCAAGAAATACACTTTTGGCGAGAAAAGATGGTGGCCCTGCGCAGTGACATGAGTCCCCTGGTTAAGCAATGCATGCCCCTTGATCTCAGGTGGGCTGCTGCTGCCCGGATATCTGCCCAGGGAGCTGCAGCCATTTGAGGTTTCCACTGGGTGCTTCCTAAAGATTGAGCCTATTGGGTGGACTTTGTGACATGGACGAGATTTTCCTCATCTGTCAAGTGGCATAACATCAGGTCCCATTGAGATCCTTTTTGCAGACCTCAAAAGCAGTGGAGAAATGCCAGTCATTTGGTTCACAACCATCCCTTCTCTGGCACCAGGCAGGCATGTGCTGGCCCTGACATCTCAGAATGTCTCTAGACATGCCAGGCCCTATCCAGGCCCTCTTCCTTCCTCTTCCCTCCTGTTTTCGGGTGTCTGCTGAGTTCTTTCCTCTGGTGGCTTCTAGATGGAGTCTCAGGTCCCAGCTTTAATCCAGGAATGCTTTGTTGGAGACAAGGGCACTAAGGCCAGACTTATACAGCTAGAGGAGGTGCAGGCTCAGCTTTGGGACCTGGAGCAAAGAGTCCCAAGTCATATGGCAGAGGAGCAGGACAAGACTGCCAGCAAAGTTGCTGCTGACTTGAGGCTGACCCTTCTGGAGGAAGGAGTGACCACTAGAGTGACAGAGGAGGTAAGCCTGGCCCCTCTGCCTGTCCTCCTGCTTGGGATCATGGTTTACCCTGAGAGGAGACTGCCAGAAGGGAGGGGGAAGCCCAGGCTGAGCAGGTAGCATGCTTGCCTGTCCCCTACATGGGCTGGGCAGAGCCTGCAGGTGGCCCAGCCCACAAGTGGTGCATGCCTGTCTTTTAGAAAGTGCATGAGATCGTGCAGCAGGCCCTGAAACTCTATAATGATGATCTCATTGGGCTGGTGGATTATGCCCTGGAGTCCTCAGGTAGGTGGCCTACAGAAAACCAGAGGGCTTGGGACAGAAGGAACTGGAAAATCAGGATAGCCATTATGAGACAGGAAGCCATTATGAGACAAATGGGGATGCCCATCATGGGCCGGGGCATTTAGGAGACCTGATGCTCTGGCAGTGCCCTCTCACCTTGAGGGCTGCCTTAAGCCATCTCTGTGTCCTGCCAGCCCTTGGGTTCCCCCCTCCACGTTCTCTCTCTGTTGCTCTTTCAGGGGCCAGCATCCTTAGTAGCCGCAGCTCAGAGACCTATGGCACCAGGACGGCCGTAATCAGTCTGTTTGGAATCACCTTGTGGTATCATTTCCAGACCCAAAGAGCCATCCTCCAGGTAGGGCTGAACAAAGGTCCCCCAGCTTGGCTCTCTGCCTGCCATCTCCCCCCTCCTCTGTGAGGGCTGGGCCCTCAAGCCAGAGGGGCCCCAGGATCTGGATCTGGCCCATGTGCTGCCACCTTTCACGTGATTTGTCTTCCACCCACAGCCAAATGTCTACCCCAGCAACTGCTGGGCATTCTGGGGCCCCCAGGGCTTTGTTGGGGTTCGCTTGTCTGCCCACATCCACCTTACTGCCGTCACTTTGGAGCACATGCCCAAAGCCCTGTCCCCAGTCAGCAACATCACCAGCGCCCCCAAAGACTTTGTCATCTTGGTGAGTATCTGAGCCTGGCAGCTCTCCTTTCTTGAAGTATGGAAAGCCCTTTCTTAGCAGCAGCATTTCAAGGTGAAAAATGGAAGGATGTGCCCATTGTACAGATGTGACATTGAGGCTGGTCTCTTGACTCCTCCAGGCCAGACCTCCTCTTCTTAGGGAGGAGCCAGGAAAAGACAACCACAGCAGCAAGAACAGTCGAGATTACAATGTGCCTTAGGGTCCTTTGTTATAGCCAGTTGCCTCCATGAGCAGGTGTACTCTGGGCGAGTTGGGCAGGGACAGGATCACCATTCCCTACAGAGTCACCTAGACAGGGAAGAGATGGAACGTCCACATAAGGAGGATTTGGGAGAAAAGATGGAGCCAGAAGAGAAGGTGAAATATGCAGGGAGAGAGGGATGCTTCAGCACCCAAATCCTGATACAGATAAAGAAAGTAAGGCACACATGGTGAAGGGGTTTCTCCCAAGCTATTCAGCAGCTTTGGGGAAGAGGCTGAGAAGAAGGCCAAGGGTTTGGAGGGGAAAGGCTCTGTCTTTTGAATTAGTGAGAGAGATGCTAGAAGATGAGGGGATCAAGAAAGGCAACGTCAGGGTGGATTGTCTTTGCTTCTCTTTCCCCTCCCCAACATACCCCTCCTTGTCTGCTGCCTCCTCTCCCTGCCACCTCCCCCGTTTTTCCCTCTATGGACTGATTTGGATTCTCATCCTAATAGCACCCCACTCCCAACCATCCATTTGTCCATCCATCCATTCCCCTTGTTTTTCCTTCTGTGCAGGGGCTCAATGAAGATTCCCAGGTGGAAGGGCCTGGCCCTTGCACAGTTCACCTATGATAATGCTGGGGAGGCCATTCAGACCTTCCTCTTTCAGGTATGGAGGGCTGGTCCCATATCAGTCATCCAGTGACCCAGGCATGCCGGTGATCTCAAGGGCTGGATCACCAGCCATGAGGATGCTGTGGCTTGGCAAGAGGCTGCAGTGGAAGCCAGGTCCCAATGGGTCTGATAGGAAGCTGAGGGATAAGCTTAGGGCTGAATTCAGCCACTGCTCTTTGAAGGAAGCCTGGGGCAGAAAGCCTGTGGGGGCTGGGCATCCATGAAGGGATCTCAGGCCTTCCTGACCCAACTCTCTTCTTCCCACAGGGCAACGGCACGGCCCCATACCAGGGTAGAGCTTCAAGTTTTGAGCAACTGGGGTCACCCGGACACTACCTGCATTTACCGCTTCTGGGTCCATGGCAAGTCTGCCAATTAGAACCTCCCTGCCTGGTGCCTTCACCCTTTCCTCTGTCAGCCACCAGCAAGCAGCTCCCCCATCTCCTCCTCCCTCCCCTGGACTCAATCCCTTCTGGGCACTATGACTTCTGGGAGAGAGACAGAAGGTGGGAGCCCACCTCCCTGGAGCCATCTTGCCCCACCAAGCCCTCTATGATATGGATGAGACCACCAGCTGAGCAATTTCTGTTTCAGTCCCCCAGCATCCGCAGTGTCAGGTGGCTCAGCTCCCTGCCAAGCCCTGCCTACCTCCAAGAGGTGTAGAAATAGTTCTGTATTATATGTTAGGGGTGTGGTAGGGAGTAGTGAAGGCCTTGCTATGCTCAGCAGCAGTCCCACAGAAACACAGCTTACACCACCCTGGATCTAGGGCAAAGAATTTGGTGCAGTAAGGGCATGATAAATTGGGCAGTGGCAAAGAGCAGACTGGTAGCCAGTCTGACATGGGCATGCTCCTGCAGGTGGCTAATGCTGCTCTCCATGGGACCTTGCATTGTTCTCTTCACCACTGGCCTGGATTTCAGGGAAGTTCTGCCCCCAGGATTACCTGGAGTGGCCTTTAGTATGGCAGCTGGGGATGTACCCATGGCTTGGTGGCCCCTTCTACCCACTGGGTCTTCATTTAGAGAGGACTGGAAGGTTTCAGGTGTGTGGGAAAGGCAGTAGTATTAGATAGACAAGTAATCATGAATTAGAGAATGCTGAAAGGAAGGTGCATTCAGGGTACAGCCAGGAGCCATGGGGAGAAGACCTTCCCTTGTGCCGCTGGTACCAGATTTCTCCTGCCTGCCCCTTGAGAGCCCAGAGACCCTACTTCTCCACTCTAGCTGTGGCTTCATCCACCACTTCACCTGGATCTCAGTCACTGTGCTCTCTCCTTTGGGACCATCAGCTCCTGTGGTTGTGGCTATGGTGGGCAAGAGACTGGCCAGGATACTGTTGAGATTGGCCCTTCCCTGGCCCTGTCTAGGGCTGGCGTTGAGCTGATGATGCCCTCTATCCCTGCGGCGAACATGACAGATGCCTCTGCAGGGAAACAGGGCATTGGAGGCTCATCAGTCTCTTACTCTGAGTTCAGATTCTAGTTCCTTTTGGGCCAGGTTGGCACATGGGTAGGTTTAATAGGATAGGGTTGGGGGAGGGGCTTGTTGAAGCTAAGTCTGGGACGGGAGAGGGAGGGCAAATATTTTGGGCCTCCTGGCCAATTGTACTAAGTATATAGAGATGTTTGTATTTATATACAGATCTACTTCATGGTTCTTTTTCATCAGATAGAAAAGCTAAGGGCTTCATTCCTGGGTGCCTCCCCAGGTCCCCAGGGTGATAGTCATTGCAGCCCCAGCTTGGGGGTGAGGGGCTGACTGTGAAACACGAATGTCCACAGTAGTCTTGCTGTCCTTTCTGCCTCTTACAATCAGGAGGGAGGGCAGCAGTTCACACTTCAGGGCTAGTCACTAATTCCAGAAGCTAGTAAGGGCAGCCCACTCTTCTGCAAGTTTCAGGGGCCAGCAGCAGTAGGTGCGGGGCTGAACCCAGCTGTCCCTCATGCCCAGTCTTCTCCCTCTGCTTTTGTCACCACCCCAGGAAGCTACGATCTGAGCATCCCCACATAGGAACCTACAGATGGCTTAGCTTTTCCTCATCACAAAGACTGTTTAATTCTCCAGTTTTATTTAGTTATACACATATTCTTATTTAATTCTCTAGTTTTATTTCTCTAGTTTAATTCTCTAGTTTTATTTATAGACATATTCTTATTTAGGCTTATGCAATAATAAATATTCTCTTGGATCGGTCGTTGCTTTTTATCTACCCCGCACAGGGAGGTTGCTCTTGAAATCACATGCCTGAGTAGTGGGGAAAAAAGAGTCAGGATGGTGCTGGAAACCCTCTGTTCAAAGGGCAGCTGCCTTTCTGCTAAGTGAGGACTGGAGGGGAATGCCCTGAGCAGTAGAGGGAGCCAAGCTCAGGTCTAGGCTTGGAGAAGCAGAGCTGAGAGAGGAGGCCAGAAGAGGCTCAAGGAGGTAGGTCACAGGCAGCCACTAGCAAAGCCAGAATGGTAAGAGCCTCTGGTGCATCAGCTTCATGATTCCCAGAGAAGAGCAGGCTGGTGGGGAATTGTGAGAAAAGAGGAAAGGAAGTACCTTCCCGATGGGAATTCCTCATCACAAGGCTGGAATTTCACTGTCAGAGCATCCCCTCAGGACAGCCTGTTCCTTAGGCTATTCCAAATAGTCTTCCTTCAGAGCAGCACTGTGGCCAGCCTTGGGGTGACCACATGGTCCCCAGAGATGTCTACAGGACAGAGGCACTGAGGCAGAAGGAATTCCATGGATAGCAAAACAGAAATGGAAAGAGACCTCCAGGAGACTCTGCTTTTCTTTCACCCCATCTAGAGGGGGCACAAATAGCACTTCATTGCCCCAAGGTCCCCCCAGCACTCTACAAAGGTTTTGAGTCAAAATCTCTCAAACCTTCCAACCCAGATGAAAAGATTTCTTCAGGCCTTTCAGACACTCCATCTGACATCAACTCTGAATGAATTAGGGTTAAATGCAGTGCTTTGGGCTGAGAGGTTGAGGTTAGGGAAAATGCCCTCTTCCTTTCCCTGCTAATTTAACTCGACCCCTTAACTGTTTCCAAATCCACCTGTCATCTGTGACTCAGTCTAAGGCTTTGCTAATATCTAAGCCCACTTTACAGCATTTCTCTGATCTAAGCAAAGACTAGCTGATCAGAAGGCTCGGTCCCATCTATCAAACGGGATAATATGAGGTCCCAGAGGATCCAATGAGATCCTTCTTGCAGACCTCAAAAGCAGTGGAGAAATGCCAGTCACTTGGTTTACAACTATCCCTTCCCTGGCACCAGGCAGGCTTGTGCTGGCCCTCAGAGTGTCTCTAGACACCCCAGCCTCCTGTCCAGGCCCTCTTCCTTCCTCATCCATGCTGTTTCTCGGGTGTTTGGTGAGCTCTTTCCTCTGGTGGCTTGTAGGTGGAGTCTAAGGCCCCTGCCTGGATCCATCAATTCCTTCTTGGTGACAAGTGCTCAGGTTGGGCTCCTACAGCTAGAGGAGGTGCAGGCCCAGCTTTGAGACCTGGAGCACAGAATCCTGACTCAAGTGGCAGAAGAGCAGGACAAGTCTTCCAGCAAAGCTGCTGCCAGCTTGAGGCTGATCCTTCTCAAGGACGGAGTGACCATTGGGGTGACAGAGGAGGTGAGGCCTGCCTCACTGCTGTCCTCCTAGCTGAGGTCACAGATTTGCCCTGAGAGGAGCCTGCCAGGAGAGAGGTGGAAGCACTGGCCAAGCAGGCAGCACCCCTGCCTGTCCCCTACATGGGTTGGTCTGGTCCTGCAGGTGGCCTGGCCCACGAGTGCATGTCTGTCTTTTAGGAAGTGCACCAGATTGTTCACCTAGCTCTGAAGCACTACAGTAAAGACCGTGAGAAATAATACTATCAGAAGAAAAAAAAACCTAGCATCGTGCATCCTAGGGAAGCCATTACCAGGGGAATGTAGCCAGTACTGTGGCACCTGGTCTTCTGTTACTGGAACCCTCAAGGTTGCTAGGTACAGTCCGCTGGAACATACCAAGGATATGAGGTTCTGCCAAGCCAGGCAGCCAAGCCAGAGCCTTGGAGGATGACGGCATCTGTCACCATACGCTGCTGTAAATGCAGGATTACCTTATTCCTTCCTGAGATTGTCCAGAATGAGCCCCATAACCCAGCGACGCTTCCAGGGGGCCAAGACCCTAGATCAGAGGCTCTGGTTGGCCCTGACTAAGCTGCCCATGCCAAAAAGCTCGTGGCCTTCCAGACTTCTCACTCCCTATCTAACAGGAGCTGCCTTGAGTCCCTGTACCTGGGCACTACACAGTCAGGGAGGACCATTCTCTGGACAGCCTAGCCTGGCCTGCCCTAGGAGGAGCCACAGCACCTGGCTTTAGAAGGGCTGGACAGCTGTACCTTGGGAAGTCATTTCACTGGCTGTGAGGTGACACCCAAGAACCCACCAATCATTTTGAAAATGTCTCCTTTGAAAGGTTAGTGATGGCTTCCCAGCCCCATTCTGCTGCAATGAAATGTCCTGTTGGGTCTGGAGCCCACAGTGCTGCCTCAAAGGGGTGACATTCTGGGGTGCCAGGTTAAAAGATCCACTGTCATTCTCCCACCCCTTCAAGCTGTGGAATAATTACCAAGGGAAGCTCCCTGGAGCCTAGCACAGAAAGACTTTTTTGCCTTCTTTTCCATTTCCCCTACAAGCTAATGAGTGAAACAGTGCAAGTATCATCTGTTCCATTTAAAACAAGAGGAAACTGAGGCTCTGAGAGGGGAGATGGCTTCCTCACAGGGTGTCTCCTAGTCCCAATGTGAGCAGCTGCATCTTCTTCTCTTCTTCTGTACCCACTCCATTCTCTTGATTCCCTCATGATCAAAGTGACAAGAACAACTGGCCTATCATCTAGGAGATGGAGAGCAGAAGAGAGAAGAGCCAGTAGGAATGCACACAAACAGACTTGCTGCCCTCCCCCCCACCCCCCACCCCAAGAAACAAAG